ACAAACTCAAAAACTCAATGCCACACGATAATTGCAATGCGAAAATCAAAGGATAGTGATATCAAATCCAACATTAAATAGCAAAGACTGCAGACTTTGCCAAACTTCATCAGAAACGTGGAAATGTGAGGAGTAAGCCCAATCGATCCGGTTGCAACAAAAAAAATCAAATTTAACCGGCACATAAACAAAAATCCCGTCTCTCTCTCCCTTTTTTTTTTTTTTTTTTTTAAATAATGCCTAATGCAGTACAAAAAGTAAACATGAGAAATAGACATGAGTGAAGAGACATATGTGAATAGGATACTGTATGGACAAACAAAACATATGGGATTTATCTTCACATTCACAATAAGCGCAATCCCCAAAAATCCGACTGCCAATGCAACCAACAAACTTAATAATCCCAAGTCAAACACAAAGATGCTCTTATTAGGTAGCGTACACACACGTCTAATGGTAGCTTTTTCTCATGAAAAACAGAGCAAATAAAAAGAACGAGATTATGGTGGTCGTGCAATGTGTAGTCCCCTGGGCTTTCTAATTGAGCTTTGTAGTAAGTGTTCGGTGAAGTGGTTTACTGGCTCGACTCAACTAGGCTTCGAACTATTCACTGACCATATATATATAATTTACATTGGCCGTGCAATGTGTAGTCCCCTGGGCTTTCTAATTGAGCCTTGTAGCGAGCTTTCGGCCACGTGATTTACTGGCTCGACTAAAAAAGGCTTCGAACTGTTCACTGACCAAATGGTTGTAGATATATATATTAGTAACAGTAGTTCAAGAGTAGCTTTCACTCATTAAAAGAGGTAGCTTTTCCCTATAAAAACATCCAACCATGACAAGACAATTCAGAGAAATAAATAAGTTGGAGCCTTTTAAGTAATCATTTTGGGAACTGGTGAAGTTCTACCCCACAAAATTTAGAAATACACGAAGTATCAAATTCACATTTGTCTCAATCATATGCAGTATGCTTAATGCAGGTCCTATATGAGATGCAAAAACATATGAAGTGTCCTACCTCTAAAAGTTGCAAGTCTGGACACACAGACTGTTGCAATAGTTCATGCAACTGCATCAGATTAAACAACATAAATTCCCAGCGATTTTCGCAAGGAATCAAATTTTTGTGCATCAAAGGTTTTTGCAAAAGCATCAGTTAATTCATTCTCCGTTGGAGCATAATCAATTGAGACAACCCCCTTTTCGACCAAGCCCCTTATGAAAAGATGACAAATATCAGTAAGCTTAGTCCTCGAATGCTGAATTGGATTCATAAACTTATTTTTCGCATACAAATTATCACAATTCAGATTACCAAGTTTTTTATTCCCCAAACTAGCTTTGTCAGCAGAACTGTTGGAACAGTTAGTACTATCATCACATGAGTTTAAAGAAGTAATGGCAGATAAACAATTAAGATCAGACTTCTTTACCCAGATTTTTTGTTGAGTTTTATTCACTAAATCAACCTTTATCTTGGGTTTTTGAGACGACACAAAAGTGTGATCAATTTTAACCATTTTCAAGTACTTAAAACACCTAGGTCGTATATGACCAGCAACATGACAAAAATGACAAATAGGCACAAAAGGTTTTCTTTGAAATGACTGTTTTGGCGCAACTGTCGCAACAGTCTGTGAAACAGTGCATTGTTTAACAAAATTGATTTTTCCTATTGGATCTTCTTTCTGTTTCAAAGCATCATCAGATAGTTTATTACCCCTTACACCTAGATGACCATAGTTCGGCTGATTTGTTCTCAAAATTTCATTCAAATTTACCCTACTTGTATTTAATTTTGAAATAGAATCTTGGGTTTTAGCAAATTTGGCCTTCAAACTATCTGTTTCTCTACTAGCAGAAATAACATTTTGTTCAAGAGTAGAAATTCTTACCTTCAATACTTTGTTTTCCTCAATTAGGACAAGTTTCTCTTTTTCTAAGAATTTATTCGACTCGCATACCTGAAGAAATTTTTCGTACATCCTTTCATAGCACTCCTTTAATTCTTCCAAGGATGACACGTCATCATCGCTGTTGTTTTCTGATTCCCAATCATCACCTGCAAGATTTAACGGAGTTAATCTTTTATCAGATATTGAATGCAACTTATCATATCTAAGTTCTGTCTGAACAGTCTGTCCAACTGTTGCAATAGTTTCAGCGACAGTCTGTTTGCACTCGTTTATCTGAGTAGTTCCTTCGTAGGCCTGTTGTAGAACATCCCATGCCTCCTTTGCTGATTTGCACATTGATATCAATTTGAATTGATCTTCATCGATACAACTCAAGATAGCATTGGTTGCCTTGGAATTATAATCTGCTATTCGTACTTCTTCATCACTCCACTTCTCTTTTGGGGTTTGAATGATCTCGTGTGACTCATTCATTGAGGTAGGAGGTGTCCAACCAATTAGAATCGCGCGCCAGGCCCATTCATCAATAGATTTAATGAACATCTTCATTCTTATTTTCCATTCAGAGTAGTTCAATTCACCCAAGACAGGTGGTAGGAATGCGCCTTCACGATGATTATTCATGTCTGCACAAAAAAAAATAAAAAAGAATTAAATCCCAAAATCTCACTAAGTGTATCTAGTGACAGGCTCTTGATGCCAATTGTTAGAATTTATTTCGTGCAGATATAAATTATTTGTGTCAGATTCAGTTTTTCGTTACTGTTGCGTGAAGTGTTGCAACAGTTCGTTAAGCAGTTCGTAAAAACAGAAATAAACGAGACACAAATTTAATGTGGTTCAGATACAATTGTACCCTACATCCACGGGGACCTGCAAATAAAATTTACTAATTTTTAGTTTTACGAATACAATAGTAGGACTTAATCAAAATACAAAGACTCCCTCTTTGTTGACGTCGTTCTTGTATACTACGCTGAATTATAAATCTTCAATTTGCAGCACGTCCCTTGCTCCGCACGGTTGAACTCCCTTCAACGCTGAATCCCTCAGTCGGCGGATCGATCTCCTCCCGAGATCTGTTTAAGCCTCTCTCCCGAAGAACCGATCTTCTTTTTATATAGAAGAAGCAAACTTGTGATACTCCTTGAATCTTGGTGTCTTCACCACAAAGCCTTGAAGCCGATATATTTTCTACGAAACTCACGTATCACGATGGAACAATAAAAACGAGAGCCAACAATATTTTCTCTGTATATTTTCTCTCGATAAAAAAAACGTTCCTGGAGCAGCAATAAAAAGAGAAGAAAAATATAATTTTTCTCTCCAACAAAAAACGCGCAGATGACGATGCTTGAAGCCCTCTTTATACGTTCATAATTCTTCCTGCTCAAGAAAAAATATAAATCTAATTAGATATGCTATTCACGTTAAAAAGAGTTGTATAGGAAAATACAACTAATCATTCCTTATCTAAAAACTAATTCCCTTAACTATTAAAACACTAAGGAAATAAAATCCATTAGGTTAGGGATTCTTATTCACGTAGGAGAATAAGTTGTAAAATAAGAAAACTCTTTGTATAAAGATAATTCCTAATATTAATCAATTAATGACAAATTAAAAGGAATTAAAACACAAGGAAACTCCCTTTCTTATATCACGGCATATCTAGACTTGTGCTACAACTCTTTTACACGTTTCCTTGCAAAGTCAGAATCCAAAGGATTCTAACAAAAGACATCATCGAACTCCTGCAAAAGAGAAATAACAATACTAGGCAAAGAAGAATTAAGGTTAGCATTAGAAAAATAGGACTCCCTAAACACTAACAACATCATTGTTCTCTCACCCTTACATGCACTCTTAATCTCTCTTTCTTTTGCGTAAAAGCTCACTTTTCTCTCATCTTTATTTATTAAGTTTGCACTCTCTTCTTTTTCTTTTCTCACTTCGACTAAACTCTCTTGTTTTACCTCTCCACTACTACTAACACGTTCATTCTCATGTTGTTTTGAACTTGCAGCAATGGATTTCTTGATCTGATTTTGTTCCTCAAACACCTGACGAGATGGTAAAGGTGCAAGTGTGATTCGCCTGCCATCCTTAGTAAAAGTGTAGCGATTTTTGTAACCATCATGGACTGTTCTTCGATCAAATTGCCAAGGTCGCCCAAGTAAGATATGACTTGCTTGCATGGGCACAACATCGCACATCACCTCATCTTTGTATTGTCCAATACTAAAGGAAATCAGTACTTGTTTCGTCACTCTCAACTCGCCACTTTCATTCAGCCACTGAAGTTTGTAAGGTCTCGGATGTTTGGAGACTTGCAGCCTTAGCTTGTCTACCATTAGCTTGCTCGCTACATTCACGCACCTTCCTCCATCAATTATCAATCCACATACTCGGTTTTGAACGTGGCAGCGTGTATAGAAGATGTTCTCTCGTTGTATTACGTCACCATCTTCTTCTGCTTGCACGTGAAGAGTTCGAAGTACAACAAGGGCGAGTCCATCAACAGCTTGTACCACATCACCTTCAATAGGTGCTGTTTTCGAAGTTGACTCTTCCTACTCCTCGGACTCCAGCTCGCCATTATCCAATAAAATCATAGCTCGCCGGTTAGGGCAGTCCATAGCGATATGACCTGCTCCATGACATCTATGGCATTTAATATCACGTGTTCGTTGTGGTTGTGACGAAATATTACCTCTCTCAGGTGGTGCTCGGTTAATTGGATTTTCATTGGAAGGTTTCGTTGTCGATTTCTCCTCGGGTTTTGAAGTAGGATTCCATCGCGGTTTCCAGCTTCATGCCTCGGCCCGAGCTGTAGTTCTCCCTCCTCGCTTAAGCTGCCTCTCAACTTTCATGGCCATATGAACGACCTCCTCAATCTCAACATAGTGCTGCAACTCAACAATATCGTCTTGCATCCCTTCAATTTTTGCACCAATGCCTTCAACGATGTCTAGAACATTTTTCTCCATGGGAGTTTCAAGGTTATCATCCTCAATGTTGGACCACAAGTTCACGAATTGCTTGCTGGGACGCTCTCCTCTCTTTGTCTTGAACTGCTGCTCGGTTTTTGATTTCTCTCTTTTAGGCTTTTGCAACAATTCTCTCACCATGCTCGCTGGATAACTCCTTTGCGATTCCCACCTCGGCGAACTCCGTTCTTCTAACTTAGTAGCTTGCCTCAACCTTTGCAATCGTAAGTCCCTATAATATGTTGGAGTAGGTGACCAACAAGCCAACTTGTGGCAGTGGTCTTTCCTTTTATCTTGTAATAAAACAATCGTTTTTTCGTTCGTAATAATAAAATATCTTATTTGGCATTCTATATCTGTTATCCCATGCAAGCAGCATAGATATAGTCCTAACGAGTTACTCTATTACTGTGAGTTGATCTAGTAGAATCGTGAGATAACTCAGCAATGTAATGTAACTGTTAAACCTTGTTCCTAGTCGATGGGTTACGCCAATAATGAGGATACCGGCCTTTCCCTTTTGAGACTAGCACTTAGTGTATGTGTACTGCGTCTCATCAGTCCTCGGTGTTGTGACATCGGCATACTTGAGTGGGTGCTCATACTGGATGAGTTCACTGAACTCCCTCGCCCTAGAAATCTATAAGTGGTTCTCATTCATCGAGTAATAGGTTTCTAAGATATAGTTGTACACCATTAGTCCTTAAGACCCAGACATCACCGTGACTTCACTAGAGGACCGATTGTATCGTGACCTGTCCCTGATTCCCACCGCGGACCACTCCAAGGGCCAACGTTCGTGCAATCCGAAATCTAGTGTGAAGTCTGTGCATTGTAGTACGGGATTCGAGCGCTTGAGTAGTCATGGATGTCCTGTGTGTTCTGACGGTTTATAATCCATGGAATCTCTGGCCAGAGTTGATAGTGGGGTGATTAGGGAAATGTGTTTCCCTAAGTCGCACACGAACGGATTTATAATACCTAGAACGTTCGCACGGTTATTGGACTTTATAAGAGGTCTCGGTGAACCAATGCCTCTAGTTCAATCGGGACATGTGCTACGAAAGGATCTGTAAGGATCTGATGTATTTAATATTATATTTTGAGTATTATATATATTGCCTTTCAATGGAACAGTAGAATAGGGTTAATTGGGGAAGAAGAAATAGGAAAGAAAGAGTAAAGAAGAAGAAAGAGTTGGTGAAATTCAGATAAAAGTGGCTAGTTGCCTTCATTAATGATTTGCATGCTATTTATAGAAACCTGCCAAATATGACCTAAAGGGATATTCCCCTTTACCCAATACAAAACTAACACCTGTCCTTACTCTAATTGCAGGTATTTAAATAAAATTGGTTGCCAGCACATTTGCTGGAATCTTCAACAGCCCATCCGGTGTTGGGCTCAAGCTTTAGGCCCACTTCAGCAGCTGAGTATGGTTTGGGCTTAGAATAATGCGGCCCACTCGAATCTCCCATCTTGTGCATTTCTGCAGCCAAAACGCCGTCGTCTTCAATTCCTCTATTGAAAGCCCTAATTTTACGATTGCCCATTTTCTTCCTCGATCCCCAATTCAATTTGCCTGAGTACATGACAGGATCGTACTGTACGCTAACTATATCATAAGGTTCTTGCAGGCACTTCATTTGTATCTAGGGAATCATGATGCGTAGTTGCTAGACGCCAATCTTGATTCGTTGGGCACCGATTTGATCGGGATTAGGTAAAATGAGTTTTACTCTAATCGGGACTCTTGGGAGGAGTTCGTATAAGAACAATGTGTTGTTCGAATCACAAAGAGTTGTGAGCCCACGGCTAGCATACACCTGAACCATTGAGGGTCACACTTCTCGTGTAATATAGATCCTTGATAACAACAAGCATAGATTAATGTGTTAATATTTGAACGATTGGATGTCGATATGATTGAATCCAAGATTCGTAATTGTGGATTGCGAATCGGAATAAACGTAGAGAAAGAGAGAAATGCGGAATTTAGTGAACTTTCTAAATTGGGAAGTTTCCCGATTTAGCAAGTCCACTGAAGTGGAAGTTTCCAATTTTGGAAATTGGAAATTTCGAAGAGGCACTCGTATCGACGAGGGCTTTGAGCTCGTCACAAATATAATTTTGTTATAATTTTGTGAACGATCGTTTATTAGAAACGAGGCCGACGAGGGAATGGGTTTAATGCATCAGTGGGTCAAGCCCAATGACTTAAGCCCGCTAGGGTTGAAAACCCTAGGTATAAATAGACCTCAAACAAGAGTTTGAGATCAGATTTTCAGCACCAAACCCTAGCCGCTCAAGCCCTAGCCGCTCCCCTCTTCGGCCGTTGCTCCACCGGCGCGCCACCGCCGACCACCGCCGGAAAACCGCCGATTTTCTTCTCTCGTTTCCTTCGTTTTATTCTTGTTGTTATCTAACTCGTTTACATCTAGTGTTGTAGTTCGAGTGGGTCGAAAATACGAGGTGAAACCTAATTGGAGAGGAGCTGCTGCCCCGACGAATCCACGCACCGCCGCTCACGCGCCGCCGCTGCTGCTGCCACGCGCCGCCGCTGCTGCTGCCATTCGTCGCCGTTCGTTGCTTGCTGGATCAGCTTGTTCCAGCCGTGAATTGCAGCCCCGAGGATTGGTAATTTGCAGCTTGTACGTGACTCGTTCTAGGATTTCGATTCGTCGAAATCGCACGCTACAAGAGGTAATTAAATTGGAACTTTCGTAATTCGATTCGAACATGTTTGTATGATTATTAATTTGCGAGCATGAGTAATACGTGATTACATGTTTCGATTTTGTGAAATGAAGTATAAGCATGTTTCGTGATTTTCGGTTTTACGTATTTTTCAATTAAATCGATAATTACCATATGTATGGCGGAAGCGTTAAGGTACGTTGACTATGTGATTAGTTTATGCATGTAATCGAAACTAGTTCGATATAAAATTTTTAAATTCCGCTGCGTATACATGCACGATCCCCAACAGTGGTATCAGAGCCACGGGTTAATCGTTTATTTGTCAACGTGTTTATCGTTTTCGAAAGCATGCTTCGATTTGTTGAATTGTTGAATTATTGGTGTTATCTAATTGGGTGTTTTAATATTAATTAAATATTTTGAATATTTCAGAAAATATAAAAAAATTTAATTTTGAAAAATTCGATTTTTGCTGCTGTTTTTCAGCTGACCGAACCGGTCCGGTCGGACCGGTCCGACCGGTCCGGTCAGCACAAAAAAAAAAAAAAAAAAAAAAAATTAATTTGATTTTCTGAAATTAATATTAAAAATTAATTGATTTTTAATTTTTGAAATTATTTATCAATTAAACCCAAATTAGATAATTGATCCATTAATTTAATTTGAATTCAAAGAATAGTGTTGGATTAATTATTTAATTTAATCGTTAAATTAGTTTAATTAATGGAACACAAATTAGATAGCAAATAACTAATGGACTTCATTCTTATTTGATTGATTTATGAATGAAGGAGGTCCGTTAATTATATTTGCAATTTATCGTATTAATTAATTAATTCATGAGATGAATAATTGTGATTAAGTACGATGATGATCGTATGTCTCTCTTAGGATCAATATGCGTTTCCACATACTTAGAGAACATAGTTGTAGGAATCACAAACGATCATAACCTAAAACTTCCGATGAGCTAATAAGATTTAATAAATAAAATCCCTCATTCTTAATTAAGAATAATTATCAAGCTATAAAGAAAAACCAAATTGTTGAATTTTTCTTTCCTTCTACCAACAATTAAATTATGTGTAGCCTCTCATGATAGTGCAGTAAGCCGTGTTAGCGGGGAGTGCTATTGTGGGATAAGCTGTAATTTAATTGACATTAGATGGAGATACGGTCATAGATAAAATTATATTGGATTAATGTGGTCGGCTAGATTAACTAGGGATTGCATTAGTTTGATATAGTTGGATCTATGACATCTCATATTGGTAGGCTAGACTTGACACACGAAGATTTTGATATTCGCTAGATTAACTTAGGTCATTATCAAGTGTGAGGTAAATCGAACTTTAGGGTCACATAGTGATGTGATTGATAGTACTCTACCTTTAGGCTTATGTAATCGGGATAGATTAACTACGGGTTACATTAGCGCTATTGGACCTAAAGCCCATTAAAGAAAAATAAGTTTTCTCGATTGTCTGCTAGAGGGTGGTGGAATTCGATAAAATTAGTGGGAGAACAATTAAAACATAAAAGCCCAAAATTTTAATTGTAACGATTATTACGAACTAAACTCTAATTATTGTCTTCTTAAAATTTTCTCAGCAACAATGTCCAAACATCCCCTTTCCTCAATCCTCGACCAAAACAAACTCACCGGTCCAAACTATTTGGATTGGCTTCGCAATCTGAAACTTGTGCTCCAAGTCGAGGAGCGTCTCTATGTGCTCAATGAACGTCCCCCCGCTGCTCTTCCTGCGACTGCTACTGCTGACGAGACTGCCACTTTCGAGGCATGGAAGAAGGACGACCTCCATGCGAGGTGCTACATGCTAGCACGAGGAAGTATGAGTCTCACGTGCATGCTTATGATATCAAGCACCATCTTGAAAGCATGTACAGTGAGAATACTAGGGCATCGAGGTACTCAGCTACCAAGGAGTTGATCACCATGAGGCTGCGTGAAGGGGCTTCGGTCCACGAGCACGGTCTCAAGATGATCACTCTCCTTGAGAAGCTGGCGAGCCTCGATGTCACCCTCCCGGCCGAGCTCTCAGTGGATTTGATCCTACTGTCCCTTCCTAGTTCTTATGAATCGTTCATAGTGAACTTCAACATGAACAAGCTCGATCCACCATTGGATGAGTTGTTGAACATGTTGGTCAGCTATGAGTCCACGATCAAGAAGGAGAAATCAGTTCTCCTAGTTGCTCCTTCTGCAAAGAAAGGTTCTTTCCAGAAGAAAAGGAAAGAAAGGAGTTTCGGCCCGAGCAAGAAACTTGAGAAGGGCGAGTCGAGCGGAGTGAAGAATGACAAGGTCACCAAGCAAGTTGATGACGCTTGCCATCATTGTGGAAAGAAGGGCCATTGGCGACGCAACTGCAAGGCTTACCTCGATCAGAAACGTTCTGAAAAGGGTACGTATTTAGTTGAAGTTAACTTGTCCGTTAAATCTTCTGCTTGGGTATTGGATACTGGTTGTGGCTCACATCTTTGTAATGATTTGCAGCTCATGACAAGAAGTAGGAAGCTTAA